ATTTCACTGTTGGACACTGGTGGCTCTTTTGTTGTAAGGCATCAATGCCTGACACCCAGGCAGTCTACCCTGTACTTCACAGGGATGTGTGAATTACTTCCTTCCCATCCCACTGACCTATTTACAAAATGTTAGAAATAATTCGAAATAATGGTAAAAAATGGTAGAGTGCTGTTAGAAATATTTAGAAACTATTGGAAATGTCATATTCCACATCAGGAATATTTCAAACATTTTAGAAAACCAGGGAATTATTTAGAATATTGACAAGATGTTCAAAATATTTCAAAATAATGAAATTTCTTAGACAAACAATTACAAAGAATTCAAAACATTTCTAAATAATGACAATAACAACCCACTCGGTGACGCGGAATTGACTCTAATGTCGTTTTTAATTTTCCACAGAATTTATCCCTGCATTTGCCAAGGTGCCTTCGGCCTCCACACCCGCCATAACCACCCGATCACCCAGTACAAGTGCCCACATCTCAACGCCAGCAGCACTGTCCGTAGTAACAACAGCGAAGCAACCAACCACAGAAACACCATCAACAACCGGCCGTATCCCACATGCTACTACAGTTGTACAGCCAACAGCTACCACCACACACAATGCCCAATTGCCCAGTACAAATGGCTTCCTATCAACGCTAGGGAAACTTCCCATAGAAACAACAACAGAGCGAAAGGCCACAGCAATGTCGACGGAAACATCGTCAACAACCCACCGCATCCCCTCTGTCACTACACTACCGCCCACAACCGTCATCATTCACCCTGCCCAAAGTAATGGTGAGTACGTACGTGTATATCTTAGGTTCAGCCAATATATTTGTGTTATTATATATTATTATCTAGATTAGTTTAATCTCTAGTAGTTGTTAAGACTTTTACGTTATTCTGTTTTCCTTGTATCCTGTATGTGTCATGTTACTCAGTATGGTGTACATGTAACATCACACTCCGTTATATGTATTTAGCCCCAAGGGCATTTACATGCAATTAAAGATTCATCAATTAAATCTTACTTTAACTTTGCATGGGCCCAAGAGACAGTGTCATCTCAGTGAGCATTTATACGTAGTCTTTTAGGGCCACAGACCCAACAATATCCAACATGTGACAGGGTAGTAAAAATACTCGATTCTCGTGTAATATTGAAATTTGGCGACAGTTGTATACAGAGCCGTGCTTTAAAGTTTTTCAGAGCCGTTTAAGGATAGCCTACTTGTATTCAGAAAAATTTCTGGGGGCAAATCTTTGTTCATGGATACCGTGCCTAAACATAATAACCCCATTCATTCTGACATGGTACTCCATAGGTACGGTTCTGGAAACAATAGCAATGTTATGGTAGTTTCCTATCGACTGGTTGATCAGTTGGTGTCAGCTAGTCTGTCTGCGTCCATAATCACGATTATGGATTACTAGGAGGACCCCGGCCAGAGTTCTAATCTCCTAGGTCACCTGAAGGTTGTACTTAGGTGCCATGGCAGCCATTTGTAAACAGTGCCGATACGAATTATGGGATAGGTGACAGTGACAGGTAATGCTTTATGCACACCTGGCACGGACATTTGTTTACGAAGTAACTTCCGGCCCTGGTGAAGTCATCTTATCTATTTGTGGGACACTAAAACATGGCTAGAAGCCAAGTTTATTTGGTGTCAAGAATTTGTTTTATACTTCATTTATAAATACTAAAGGAAGAAAGACAATATTAGAGCCGTTATTTCCTATTCAATACTATAAACGAACCAAGGTAACATTACTGATGTGTTTGGATTTAAATGTAGGTATCGTGCAAATATGTTGACAACATGTAGTGAAATTTGATACTTCATGGCAGCCTTCCGAACTATGTTTCTCTCATTTGAATACATATTAGCCGAGTCTTGATAAATAAACTATGTGACCTTTCCTTTTACTCTTGTTACCCCTGCAAGGTCCGCAACATGCTAATGCATAGAAAACATACCAACGTTAACAACAACAAACCTGAGAGGAAGTAGCGCACCACTAGAAACACGCACGCCAAAATTGCTTAAATCTTTATTCACGTTTTAAATGTTTGTTATAGTATACTGTATACCTGTGGCAATACAAATCAACTACATTACACAACACGATAGATTTTTTTTGGAGCGTCGTTGTGTGAATCGTTGCAGAACTGTTCGGTAGTGTTAACCAATAACCTTATAATTACAATGCATCGTACACTTACAAGCGATTGCAATACTGGGTTGACCCGGACCAGAACGGTGCAAGCACCTAGACTTCCACGATTCAGTGCATTCGCCAAATAATTCTAACCTTGAATCATCAATGTTTCTTTGTGTTATTGGTAAGGCTACAAAGATCGTCATTTGCTTGAATTTAATCAGCTGTTCATTATTCTCCACTCAATGACAGTCTTAGGCCACACCGATTTCATTTTATGAATGACATCCTCTTAAGACCCCAAACTAGTACGCGCGGGCGAATAAAAAACTTCCGGCCAAAAATAAAAATGCCACTTAACCACAGGAATACAAAGCTGGTATTGTAAATTCGCGACAGTACATAGCGACGTATACGACAAGCCGGCACATGCTGGCTTTTTGCCGCATTTATGAATCGGTACTGTACTTATGTACTGAGTTCTTGAGTTGTTGAGCTTCGAATTTGATAGCCTGGGTGCTCGGCTCCGTTTTGTCGCTGACTTCCATGGACTACCCAGGCCTAGAGCCAGACCAGAGCCACGTTGGAGGTGATCTTTTTTTTGAGGGCGACAGGCCAAAATTAATGCGCGCGCGGCGCCGATGTCATCCATAAAATTAAGGCGGTGTGGCCTTATTTTAAACAAAAAGAGCTGCATTTCCTCATAGATGATTTAAATGCGTTTGAAACGGAATACGATGTGTTTGGTGGTGATCATGCTCAGTTAAACTCCAAACGCCGCACAAAGTAGAAAAATGCTAACCATTTACCAGTATAGAATTATAGAATTTTCTTTATAAATCCAATTACAATTTACAAAATCATATAGCCAGTAACCGTCGACCAATCAGAAGGCTCCATTTCTTGGCTTTTTGGACCGTACCATTATACGACCAGGATGTTTCACTCGGTGGTTTATTCGGTGGTTATCGCACCTGATCGATCGACCAGGGATTATCTCACCATATACCCCTCGGGTCGGGGCATTAACCCTCGTTTGCCAACGTTCCTCTTTCTCTTTATTACATGTGCCACAAGTTTGCATTGTCCTATAATGAACGCAGCAGATATATAGAATTTCAACATTGATTCCTTACGTAATTAGATTCTAAATTGAATAGTTGCTATTTGATAATGCCAAGCATCACTTAAGAGCCCCCGCTCTTTCCAAAAAAGCTGCTAGGCCTAGGAGATATTCCAATTATGTCACTTATGTCACTTATTTTTAAGCACAAGATATCTACAAGTAAACAAAACCCATCCCTAGCATTTACAGATCAGGATATATCAAAATCAGAAGGCCTTTAATTAAGTCATTTCGATCTCATTCCTTCAAAAACTAGAAAATTAATCACCAATACTACTGTACAATATACTTGTATTCGGAAAAGACTACAGTGACAGCTGGTCTCCAATTCTGCTGTTTCGTTTGAATGCGTCTAATATCTAGGCACACGGGTGGCTATTTTGAGGCCATTTATCTTTAATGGGACATTAGCTTTATGTCCATGATCTAAACTTAGCTTGTAAGAGCGTAAACGTACAGCTGGATCTTTCATTCATTTATTCACACATTTATCAAGTACGCATTGCATACTTCCTCGAGTTTTGGAATCTTAAATTCTTTCAAATTAACGTGTTTTTTTTTCTTTTTCTAACCAGACGGCCCAACAATCAACAAAGAAGCTGGCTCCTTCCAACAGTTCGAGTGTGACGTCACCTTCCCGTCGACGTACCTACTAAATTGGATGCGTGGGGATGAGATCGTCATCCGGTACCTGTCTGCCAATGACGTCATCACGTGGACGTCAGCTAACTTCAACGGACGTGTGTCCATAGCAGGGCCACAGAAGTCGCTAGGGATTACATCACTGAGGATAACAGACGCAGGGGACTTCTACTGTAGTGTGCACGACTTGGCGTCAGTAAATGCTGAAAGAAACTCTGCAAGACAAACTCTGTTTGTTTACAGTAAGTGTTTTTACGGGAGTTTTGTGTTTGGTTTGTGTATGCTGGCCTGTGTGTGTATTATTGTGTATGTGAGTGAGTGTGAATGTGATAATGTATTAATTTATATGTTTGAGTATTTGCAAATGCAATGTACGAGGAAAGCCACTTAATATCTAAATAATTCTAATATTACAAGTAGATACAGTCAAACTTGCCCAGGCGACCACCTCTTCAATTGAGTAACCAAATCACCTGGCCATCGCTTCCGTTTTTTCTCGGTCCCGAAAATTGTCCCCATTGACGCAAGCGTTAAGCGACCTGACCTGGGCGGCCACCGTGGCGACATAGTTTCTCAAACCGACCAGTTTGTCTTGGGATTCGTCTGCCCCACGATGTTTCATCTATATAATAATTACAAAGGTAGCCTCCACTGGGTCACTTTAGGTCAATGGCACAGTCTGTACTACGTGTTATGGGTGGGGGATGTCAGCGCGCTGTTGTCCATTTGTCATTACTCAAATAATTTTCGTCGGTCCCCTGGGTGGCTGGCTTTAGCAGGTTTAACTGTACATAAATTTTGAATCAAAATATTGTTAATGAAAACAACAAAATCATGTAACAATGTAACAACAAGATTAAAGTTTAACAAAATCTAAGTAAAATGTTGAAGGTCAAAAATCAAAAGTTAGGAAGTACCGATTGCAACGACAAACAAAAACTTTGGAGAGATTTCATGTCAGCAGAAAACGAGTTTTGCTGATGTTCTTCTTTCGTAATTTCGTAGCTCGTCCCTCGGTTTCGTTACCATATTCAGACGTTATCGTCGAGGCCGGAGGAGACACCACGTTCACGTGCACCGTCACGAGCTACCCTTCATCCAACGTCACATGGGAACATCCGGACGGGACCAGGTCTTCTGGCGACATACTGCGCCTGCACAGTGTAACGTCACAGAGTGAAGGACAGTATCGCTGTTTGGCTGATAACGGCTTCGGAACAGACATGCAATATGTCAATCTTGTTGTCCAAGGTAAAATGCTATTTCTACTGGATTTGAATGCAACCAGACACGCACAGAAACATGCACTGTAACAAGCACACACGCATAGAGAGACAGAAACAAACACACACATTTTACACACAATTACACACACGAGCACACACATCTCAGGTACATATACATACATTTATCATCGTCCAGGTGGGACGGCGATAGCCTTTGAACTACCCTCTTCCGTGTACATATAGCTTGATCACTAGGTTACTTAAGATCTGTAGAATTCGCAGTTCCGACCAAAGCTCGCTTTCAGCAATTTTCGTCGATTCAACATTCAACAATCGGTTGTTTTGAAATTTGGCGACATCCTGGCTTTAGTAAGCCTCTTTGTCCACCCGATTTTAACACAATAAACGAACTTGACACAGGTTGTTTCTGTTTATAACTGGCTGTCCCATAGTATAACCTGCTTAATCGGTTTATAGCAGTCCGACATTTTAAACATAATAAACGGATCGCCAGCTTTATGGATTAACGGTAGGAAAACATTGCTATATGATATCTACATGTCTAGGTCAACCTGGCTAGGTCAACCATGGGTCATCCTCAGGTGTCATGGCCGCCCTCCGAAAACAATGTCGATACGGATGATGGGATAGTGGCAGTGTCGAGCAATGCTCCCCTGGCACGTACATTTGTTTACTGCATAACTGCCAGCACAGGTGGAGTGCGACTGGCAGTTCTTTTAGAAAAGAAATATCCGTGCATTGCCTGGCACTGAGATAGTATCTACCATTGGGACTTGGGCACTAAGCATTATTATTTGGTGTCTGAATTTGAGTCCGATATGCAAGTATGTTGACACTGCGTACTGAAATTCCATACAGTATGGCAACCAAGATGGCCGGATCACGGGTTCACTCATTAGAGTACATATTAGTGACGTCCAAATAAACAACCTGTGTGACCCTTCTCTAGTTTTACAAGTGCTTATAATAAAAAAAAACATACCAGCGTTAAAAACAACCAACATGAGAGGTAAAAAGCACCAGCAATGCAGAACGCCATAATTGTTTTACATTCTAGATGCTTAACAAGCATGTGCTGTTGTATAATTTGTGCGACACAGATGTTACACAATATGTTCGCCATCATCTCCGACACAATGTAATTACAACCTGCGTAGAGGTAAACCTGTCACTGTCTCATCATCTAGTAAAACGAAAAGACATGAACAGTCTTTTGTACCCCGTTCGTTGAAGCTGCTGTCTAAAACCTGATCTTTGTATATATTTATAGCGGTTTTATGATGTTATTCTTCTTTAGTAATACTGATTTTAGAATGTTTAACTGTTCTCATTGATGTGATAAGTTTTTATGATGTATTTTATCGCTAATTATGCAGATGTATGTGACATTTTATGCTATCTATTGTAATAATTGAGTACAAGTTGTAAATATTCGACATATTTCATGCACTGATGTGACATGCCAGTCGATATTCAATAAAATCTGAATCTGAATCATGAGAGGATTTTATTGACCTTTACTTAAAACAGTACATATCTGTTTATCTAAGTCTTTTGGAGTTATTACGTGTACTTACGCACGCACACACAGATGCTCTTTATGTTTGCTACATACCAACGTATACCACCTTTGTTTACTTCAGAAGCTACCAGAGGAGTTACTGTAATATCTGGAGGTTTTACTTCAGGTGTTATGGTAATTTCTGGAGCCAATCCTCCAGCTGGACAACTGACCGGTAACAACTCAGCATCAACCACCGCGCTTGGCGTGTCGCTGCCACTGTGCCTGGTGGTCGGGGCTGCCGCCGGGGCTGCTGCTATGATATACCACAGAAAGAAGTGAGTAAAATTATTTTCCAGACATATTAACATTATGTTGTCTTAACATCAACGTTAACAGAATTTTGTGTTAACAGAAGTTTACATCTAAAATATCGAGTTTCATCGATATACTCTTTTAACGCATTGCGCAATCTTGTACAAATATGAGACTTAAAGGCAAGCACGCCCGAAAGTGCTGTATTTATCCAGATACAAATACGCAAATGCATTTTGATTAATATGAAAATAGAGGCTCCACCACAAAGTAGATGATCTCGTAGACGACAATTTGTTTGCCTTCCAAGCATCTATTTCGAGTAAACCATGACCGTGCGTGAATAAGTAGTATTCATTCTTCCAGGAAGAAGACTCGGTCTGGAAACGGAAAGGTCAAACGCGTTTCTGGGGAAAACAATCCGGCTTATGACGGTGATGCCTTTCCCGGTACCGTCAACAATTCCGGAGGGGTCGACTTTGATAACCCCACGTTCGATCACATCTACGAAGAGTTACCTAACGTGTGGGTGGTGAATAGCTCACCGCCGCCAAAAGAACAAAACCCAAAGTCAGATATGTCATCTGCTCCAAACGAAGACTACGTGGAGATAAATGAGAACGAAGTTTCCTGGGCGAAAGCTTCATCACAGCGACACGTGTCAGCTACCAAGAATGCCGGCCACATTTCGTCACCAGCAAAAGACAGAAACGCAAAAGAAGAGCACACCAGTGAAGTATACCGTCGAGATAGTTGGGGCGCGGAGAGTGACTACCTTCCACCGATATCCGATACAAACGTGCCCGACCCGAACATGGGTCGTCTGAAGAGCAATGCTGAAGACACAGATGAAGAGTATGAAGATGTAGGTGGTGAGGAATATCTGGACCTGAACCCACGTCCATCTGCACATCACCCAAGTCTTCGGCCAGGTCATCACCCAAGTCTTCGGCCAGATCATCACCCAAGTCTTCGGCCAGATCATCACCCAAGTCTTCGGCCAGGTCATCACCCAAGTCTTCGGCCAGATCATCACCCAAGTCTTCAGCCGGACACGTACCAAAGCCTCAAGCCGGATCACGATCAGTACCAACGCCTCAAGCCGGATCACGATCAGTACCAACGCCTTCACTCGGATCAGCGCCAAAGTCTCCCGCCGGATGACCATCGACGTCTCCGTCAGAGCCAGAAACAAAACCCGGATATTCCCGAGCACGTGGACAGTCCGGACGGGTATCAGAGTCTCCGCCACAGCCAATACCAGAAGTTGAACATCCCACCGGGTACAAAGGACGCTTTTCGTCCTTAACATGCAAAACTAGCGCTATGCTGGGTATGCACGTTTTGATGACTAGTCCAATGTCCTTTGATGTATGGGGTGGAGTGACTAGGAAGGATAATGTGGAAGGGTGAGGAATGTCAGATCTTCTTAGGTCATAGGTTTGTTACAAAAATGACGCAGTGTATAGTTCGCCCTTTCCCCTGAGGTCGAAGAAGTTTCTCTGTTCCCGATTATACCATTTTCTACAGTCAGGATTTTCAAAACGCTATAGTGTATGCCGGTTATAGTCACGGCTTATATGTATTAACACATGTATTATTTTTAATGATTTATTTACAAAATCAACGGATTTTCGTAGTTTGTTTTGAGACCAATTTAGGACGATTTGCTTTTAATATTAGACTGTGTAACCATTAGTTATGAGTTACTAGATGCTTTAGATCAATTTGAGTATGAAAACGAAAAAAAATTCCTACTCAAAAGGCATCTATGCGGTAGGAAAAGATACCGTTTGCACATAGCTACACATATGTGTAAATAGTGATATGTCTAAATAGTGATATTTTAGGAAGATTTTATTAGTTCAAGTTAGCAATATTATTTAGGTTCAAAAGTTTTGTAAATATGGTAGCAGGTAACTGTCATTTTTTAGAATATGAATGTGAATGATTGTGCACCTCCTTACATATTTTTCAAATAATTTTTATTGGTTTGTTTATTTAGTAAATGCTGCTTATACATATAAACATATATTTGTTGTTTAATCTGGTACTTCAATGACCGTCTAAAATGTACATAGATGCCTAGGCTTAAGTCAAGAATGTAGTATTATTTTGCTGTCATAAATGTTTAGATATAAAATCTATTTTGAATTTTTTTGTAAAAACGTTAGTGGGTGAGGGCACTTATATTTGCTATGTGAAGGATTGTACACTTAAGATCTTACGTACTTTAAAATAACCTTTTTATTGGCTTAATGGTTATTTGGTGAATATATATATATATATATATATATATATATATATATATATATATATATATATATATATATATATATATATATATATATATATATATATATATATATATATATATATATATATAATATATATATATATATAGTATATATATATGATGTAAACATATATATATATATATATGATGTAAACATATATATGATGTAAACATATATATGTTGTTTAATCTGGTACTTTTTTGCTGTCATTTAAATAATTATACATATCAATCGAAATCTTATATATTCATAGTCCGTATGCTTGTTTTTATTATATGTTTTTAGTTTTAACTTGGTGTTAAAGTTCTTTAAATTCTTTAACTCTAATAGCATGTCTTAACGCCCAAAATTGTTGCTGTACACAGTTTAGCAAACCAACTTAGTAAATATTTGGTTAATATGTTAACATCCAGACACTGACCAACCATCAACTTGTAAATTGATGCTTGCTAAGACGTTGTGTAGATTTTTCAAGTGGCATTGTACTTGAATAAGTATACACGTATATATTAACAACACCAATGTTTTGTACTGTTTGATTTTTCAACATTGTGCGAGCATATAGCGTATGTGTAGTCATTGGGCATGTTGTTGTGCTGATAACAAAATGTCCAGACTATGCACGATGTAAAAAATGACTAACGTAACTACTTAATACCAGCTCAGAAACAAAAACAGCAAGAAATAGTCGTGCCTTCAAGTACCAGAGTTTGACGCTTTCTTGGTGTATTTCTCGATAATGTCAATTGGGGTGTTCAAAAACTAATTCTTTCCTATATTGAATGAACTAGATGTCACCGAGTACAGTAGGGCATCATTAGATAGCTTTAAAATATTTAGAGTTAGATCTTTGCGTGCCTGCGAAGCTGGTGTGTTTTACGCCGAAGGGCAGTTATACCGGCTATGTAGACAGATACAGAATTAGAACGGCAGCTTTTGAGATAATGAGATAGAGACAGAGAGAGACAAAGACAGACGGAATGCCAAACATTCTGGCGTTTGGTCACAGTCTTCTCTAATGTTTTGACAACGTCCCTACAACAGTCCGCTGTTTGATGACATTGGAACATGTCCAACAAGGAAGAAAATTCCACAGATAAAGGGATGTCGGCACCTGGCATGTTTCTTCAAATATTTTTCGGGCTTGCTTGTTTACCACAAAATATTTTGTAGACTCAGCTGCGACCAGAGTTTTTTTTATACTGGTCTTGTTTCCTACATTAATCTAATTGTCCACATCAAACGCCCGACATCGACAAAAGTGGTGTTAACAATGAGTTATGACATCATTTTTCCATTAGTATTTATTTTACATACACGTTCGCACACACGCCCGTGCTGACAAATACACACTCACATATACACACTCACACACACACACACACACACACACACACACACTCACACACTCTCTTCCGTTACCTATGCCGTGCTACGTATCTGTATCTGTATCTGTATAGTCGGTATAACCGCCTTTCGGCGTAACACACCAGCTTCGCAGGCACGCGGTGCGGCGGCAGCTGGCTATATTACACCGATCGACTTGTTACACTACAGTTACGTACAGTTAGAATGACCAATTAAGCTTCACGACTAATTTACGGGCATCGCGTATCGCTGGATTAAGCTCCTGTCACACATCTAGAACCTTCCCCCGACCACCAACCAACCAACCAACCAACCAACCAACCAACCAACCAACCAACCAACCAACCAACCAACCAACCAACCAACCAACGAAGGTTGTCTGAATTTTGGGATCAGTATGACCAGATTTAGGCCGCGCCTACTGAATATCTTTCCAAACGAATGGAATCGAATTCGTTTTGAATCGCAGTCAAATTTGATCCCAGAACACGTCTCGAACATCTTCACTTTGACTGCGACCCGAACACTGCAAACCTATTCCCGAGCACAAGCCAACCACCAGCCAACTACCAGCCAACTACCAGTCAACCATAGCCGATGACCTCCCGTTCACACTCATAAGTTTTAAATATTTCGAATCATTCGGCTGGCACAGCCAAGCAGTAACCAAACCTGCAAAAAACTTTAGTACCATTTAACCATAGCCAACCTTGTTCCAGATTAACGTGCTTTGGGAGTGTTCGTTAGCCATATTTGACTACATTCGACTATGACAAATAAACAAATAACTACAGTGGTGTTGCTGAAATTGACGCTGAATACCTCGCTACGCTTCACGAGAAAAAAGTATGCGGACCCTCTTATCGTACCAGTGGGCTGTTTTTGTTGTGTTAACAAGTACGGCAACGAAATGTACACATGTGCAATATGCAAACACACGGACAAGTCCTGCGCAGGCTGCCCATTTACCAGTCAGTCGTCACCATGGGGCCTCCGTGGCGGCGCGTGTTTCTGGCTTCTCTGCTGTTACTTGGATTATTGTCCGGTGTATTTTCCGACGACATCGGTGGATCCTACTACGGAAACCACACTCTCAGTCTATCGGGAAGTCCGTACGACGTGACGCGGGAAGTCATTGTCGGTGAGGCGGCGACCCTGACGATCGAGCCGGGGGTTCGGCTGTTGTTCCCGGAGGGGGTCGGCATGACCGTGCGGGGACGGCTGATAGCGGTGAGTCCGGATTAATTTTCTTATCTCGGTATCAAAGGGGAAATCGGTTAGCGTAACTACTTGGTCAATGACGAGACTTAAAGAGAAGGGAATCAAGAGAGGAGAGGGAGGACGAGTGTACCTTCGTGGGAATACCTGAAGACATATGACACAGCTTGATATGGGAGTCATAACAATGAGCGGTCTGAAGACATTATTGGACATGCTTGAGGGAGGAGGACCTAGGTGGTTGCCGGAGTCATTACTCCTTAGAAAGAAAGAAAGAAAGAAAGAAGAGAAAGAAAGAAAGTGATAAATTAACAATGAACAAAACCAGAAATTCACAAAAGTTCCTAATACAAGTGACCACTTCTATATCAGCTTAATATGTCATCCCTATTTTCCCCTTATTAAGGGACTTGTCCAACAAGACCGCGACCGACACTATTTGCGTCCGCTAATGGCATAATGTCTTTTCTATGACGACCACATCATTTCCAAGGGTGATGATTATATCTAGCGAGACATCTTGATGGAATCGGCCAATTTGAAATCGTTGATTTTGACAGTATGACAGTCTTTGTGCAGTGTAAAATGGCAGTGGCTGGGCACTTTTTGACAAATTGGGCAGTCTCTTGTAGCATAGGTGGCAATTTTGCAGTTTCCTTGTTCGCTGGCCTATGTTGTTGCCATGCTTCAGTTTTAGTAGGTATAAAATTTACATCTCCGATTTTCTAAATGGTCTTATCTACTTCTAATACTCACTAACGACATGGTTAAGAGTGCGCTTATTATTTTTACACTGGCTCCTCAATCCTTATTTTCTAAACTACCATTTCCGATAACGTTGGGGTCCAACTGTCCAACTAGGGGCTTGAGTCCAGTCAGAGACATGGTGTTTTGCTGATTATTTTTTTTACATGGTATGATATTATCCAAGCATAACGAGCAAGATATTAAAACCTTGGTCCGCTGTGAACATCCGACTATTATGTACGGCAGGGTTATTCATTCTTGGTTAATTTGTACTTGGTTGGAAAGATGTTTACATTCTGGGATCTTTTATTCCATATATGTAAAACCAGGAATATATCGCCACTTTTCCTTTTGAAGTAATGTTATTAAGCTACATAGGATTTTTGTTTTCTATTTCATCATTGCAGTATATTTGGTCAATGTTTGCCGCAGAGAACATTCAAAACGCCCTGGCGGTGATATTTCATTCCCTGAGTAGATGAATAAATAAATACATTTAATTAAAATTCCAATATCATTTATTCATTTTTATTAGTCGGTGGGGAATTTTTATAGCATATTGCAATAGGACGTTTAATGGAGGTCCCATGTGGGGGTAGGGGCCCTCCCGGCGTTTTCTTTCTATTTTCTTCACGGTTCACCACAAAACAAGGGTCATGGGAGCCACTCGATTATTTTGGGCTATACTGTACAGACAGTGAGGACAGATGTTTGTTGACCTTAGACTTAAAAAGTTTAAGGTTATACCCATATAGAAACAATCACGTGGTAGCTTGTTCCATAGTGATGTTGTTCTAGGAAAGAAGCTTTTAGCGTGGAATTTCCTCCTAGTGAATGGAGGAAGAAATGGTGATTTTGCTTCAGTGGAAGTGGCAAGACGTGTCCGTGCTGAGAATGTTTGAAGTTCGGGCACTAGCGAGTGAAGTTCAACGGAGCATTTACCGTGGAAATTTACCGTATACATAAGGGAGGGGGGGGTGCTAACACAGTTTAGAATGCAAAGTACAAGTCAATATACAAGGCACTTAAGAAATGACACAGCACATATGAATTTGGCAATGACTGGTTGTACATAAAGAAGATTGATTTACTGTAAGTCTACAAATTTCCGCGGTATATTTAGATTCGCGGAATTCGCGGGGACCTCTGTACCGCGAATCTATTTCCCCGCGAATATGTTTTGCGTAAGTGCGCCCCCCTCCCCACATGCATTCACGTACGACAGTAAGCGAAACACAAACACACGTAACAAACACAAATCCCTGCAAATCAACTCTATTCTTAGGAAATGTACGTATGTTGAGTACCAAAATTTTTTAAAGTGATACTGATGTCAAAAAATTATAATATTATGAGACACCGAATCGCGATACTGCGGCACTGGCCGTGTCAAACGTGCACCGCCGGACAAAAATCTGTGTGCTGAGCGCCGGCCATGCGCGCCCGGGCGCTTGAAAATTGCGGGCACATCGGGCATATCTACAAATATTTTGATGAAAAATATAACTGCTGGTACCTGGGAAATGTTAGTAGGTTCTCTTTTGCGCCCTGCTTTGCGGGCGTTTTTTTTTTATTCTTGTTTTGCTGGATAGAAACGCTACCGTGGGCCGCTACAAAACCGAAGGCGACCTTTGCATACTTCCGGGTTCAAAATCTCGCCGAAGACGGCATAAATATTCTTAGTAATATATATTTTCCCGAAAGATTCTTTCGATTATGCATTTCTTCACTAGAGTATCGATGTGTAGTCATGGAAAATAGCGTTTTAGCGCTTATTTCCGAACAAAGAAAATTGTTTACACGTGCGTCAGATCGATCGTCAGCTATACCGCCGGCAGTCTCGCGCGGTGCACGAAACAAATTTTTGCGCCGCGTTTTAGGATATAAATGCCGGAACACGAACTTTTATTATTTTAAATATACACTTTACAAATATTTCTTTGGAAAATAGCCAAGGAGAAATCGCGAATCTAAAAATACCGCGGATTGTCCATTTTCCCGAAACCGCGAACTTTAGGCCCCGCGAATCTAAAGAGACTTACAGTAACCTAAAGTGTTAAGTACTTAGTAATTACAGCTCTTGTTTGTGTTTTGGCTTGAAGCTTGAGGCATTGGCTGGCAGTTGTACAGTTGTGTAATTGCCCAGTTGTAAGTAGTGTTAAGAACAGAGCCTAAGTTGTAATATTGGTTTATCTAAATGGAAGAAGACACAGCATTTACCAGCTCGATTTCAGACAAAAACTACCCAATATAATTCAATTGCGAGGAAAATATTTCAATTTACACGCACGGGTATATTGTACAGTGTCTATTACTACATTATAGTACAATGTTCAATTGTTTACTTGAAGTAATGGCATTTTAGCACCCTCTTTTGACTTTGTTGCCATCAGTACATGGATGTAATGCAAACAAAGGCCTTCGCTGTTTTTTTTCAGGTTTCCAAAAAGTGTGATTATGCCTATGCTGTAGGCTTATCAAAATATTTGTAAAGGCTTACATTTAGCTGCTATATATACAACTTTATTCTGTGATTTATATTTAGCTGTCACTATATATTTCTTTTGTTGTTTACAGAATAGTTTTCTTACAGTTTGCCCTTAGTTCAATAAATGTTTATTGCGTACAGAAAGGTTTTCTTCCTTCAAAAATTTGGTTCTTAATTCAAGAAATCTTTTCTCGTGTAGAGAAATGTTTTCTTGTTACAAAAACAGATAGCTCTTAGCGCAAGAAACGTTTTCTTATGTACAGAATGGCCATTTTTGGGCGTTTTTTTTCTTTTAGCCATTTGGCCATTTATTCGATCCACAGATTGTCTTTACCGCCTTTTATATACACTCCTTTAAGTTTCTGTTAAGTAGGATTTTTTGGCTATTTTCGGACCAAAAAAGTTCATTTCTGGTTTGTAGGTCTGTGCCCCAATATTAAATCCAAATGACCTAAAATTTGGTATGGGGATATCTTAGACACATGCATGTCTAAAGAAATTCATTATGACATACACGACTTTCACATTGTGTAAAATAAGACTTTTTTTGGCTATTTCCGGACCTTGGATACAAGCCAATATTTTTGGCGTGTGTCACCTTACATTATGTAAAATGGGACTTTCTTGCTATGTTTGAACAAAATGTTTGGCTCCTGTGTGCAAATACGAAAACCAAGTGTCTTGAAACTCAGCATAAGGGTAGCTTAGCACCAAATGCTTAGACTATAGTGTTCACTATTTAGATGCAGTCCTTCGAAATACATGCATTTTCTTATTTTGAGTAAAACAGCGAGTGTAGCTTTAAAACCCAAATCCCCAACTGGCAATTCTAAACACTGTTTCTACATGTTCCAACAACAGAAGGCGTTGGAAGATTCCATTGTTGCATTTTGGTATCGACTATTGGAACACCTCACATTTTGGGCAGGGGTGATTTAGGAAAAATCCATTTGTGCGGGAGGGGAGAAGGTCCGATTTTGGTATGGAGGATGTGGTGAAGCCATTTGCTGCATTTGCTCCCGAGCAAATGTCGGTCTTTCTATTCTTGACTTCCATATTTTTTCAAATATTTTGCTAAAACGTCCTGCAGTTCTAGAGCAATTGGCTAAGGGTTCAAAACTGTTAGCACGTGGAAAGTGCCCGGTCTTATTCCAATGTTGACCTCGAATTCAAGCTGATTAGGTATAAGCTGTTTTACTTGTTTTTTTTTTAATTCTCGTTTGATAGTTGCTTGCTTATTTCTATTTTGATCGGTCAGAACAAAGTACTTTGTCATGACTTAGGCGGGGATTAAGTTAAGAAGTAGCGAGACATGGACATGTACGAGGAAAATTTTAAAATGTACAATGTAGTCAAATCTCCAATGAAGAAGAGGCTGATATTTATAAGCAAATGCAGGAAATATCTCAACAGTATATAGGTTAATATTGATGTAATGTGTCAACATTTTCTCGCCCTTCAGAAACAAGTGTATTTTCAGACACATCTCTCTATATGGACTCTAGCATAATTAATTCATGTCTACAGTTCTAAAGAGAAACATTTGGAATTGTCCATTTTGGGCAATATAAGGTATATATCCTATTAGCAGAAACGTTGGAAAAAGAAGCAGTCTATTTTCTCTCTCAAATATTCCGTTTTTAAACTATGGTTTTACTCACTTGCGTAATATAATCTCTTCATCCCTTGCGTTACTGAAGAGCATTAAATACTGCATGTTTGATTTTGTGAAATTTCCTGTCTTGTTTGTACTCCTTGTTAATAATCTTAGTCAAGAACGTCTTTTTGTTTATCCAGGCTGGGACCCCTGAACATAGAATCGTCTTCGAACGGAAGACGAACCCTCCCGGTGATCAGGGCAGCACAGTGACCCGTGACCACGACATCAGGCTGCTGGGTCCTACCGTGTTTGAGGGGCGTGTCCAGGTCAAACGGGAGGGGCTGTGGGGTTCTCTCTGCCTGCAAGATTCGTGGTGGAGGAACCAAGAAGCAATTGTGAGTTGACTTGTTGGAACTTACCCCACATCGACTTAAATTTAAATCGAAGTAATAGATGCACCTTATATCAGGACAATTTATTCAAATGAGTAAAATGTGTTGACATACAAGCGACCTAACGTGTCCAAAACAGAAAATATACACATACATTACTTGTTGTACTTGTAACATACACACATACATTGCGCAAATTGCAATGTGTCCTTTTTAATTCTAAGCCCAGATTTGCATTTAAGGATGCTTATCTATCCGTTCTTGAGTTTTCTCTTCAAACTTTGTCGAACTTCCAAATAGTTTCCAATGTAACACTCAGCAAATGAGTTGAATTCTTGTTCATATACCGATCCAAACAAGGTAGAATAGTTCCTTCGCCGATCATCAGTGTTTTGAAATGATTTAGGTGGTGTGTCGACAACTGGGGTTTGCAACGGGACGAGTGGAGAACAAGTACCGGTTTGGCAAAGGGCGCATGGCTGTGGGCAACCTACGGTGTACCGGCAATGAGGACAACATCTACGACTGCAGCCACGATAGTCTTGACTTACCTCCTCGGTGTCGTGAGTTTTTCTTTTTTTGTTTCATTACGTATTGGATAAGCAGTTAAAATGCAATTGCTGGTTTCATGTCCAAAAATAATATAGTGCATAAAAATATTGCAAAAACGGTAGAATTGATTGTATCACTTAGCAATAAAGCTGAAGACATCTTTCAGAGCAAGACTGAAGCAGTCGTCTTGATCAGTTTTTGTTTAGCCTGTAGAATATTGATTTTCAGTATCCAAAACAAATTAATACTTTTCAGTCTACTTAAAAGGCAATATTGAGAGAAGAAGACAGTACACCATTGATATTAAAAGTTTTCTCTTAGTTTACATTGAAAAACAGTTAATGACTTTTTTGTTTGCCTGACTTAATATGATTACTTAAGATAACTTTATGATTTAAAAAAAAATCAAACTTACCATGTTCTAGCCAAACCTACACCTGGATCAGGACATGTTTCTCATGATATTACCATATGCTACTAAATTTAGACATCAAAATATCAGCCAGCTAGAAATAGTTTTTGAATGTCCAATAGTCCTATTCTAACCACTTTGTTTCTTTCGAAAAAGTCCAAGGCCAAAACCGTAGAGACCTTGGAGTGGTCTGCGAGGGATTGAATCACAGAGAAAACGTCTATTGGAAGGCAATAGACATTCGCACAACCAATCAAGCTATGAGGTCCACCCTAGAAAACGTGGATCTCTTCCATGCTGGAGATCGAGGAGGAAATCCAAACGAAGAAAGAGCCGCCATTATCAGCAGATCAGTTCCACCTCTGTTGCGCAGCGTCCATATCAGGCATTCTGAAGACGCAGCTATCAGAGTTGTTAACCCAACTGCGCCTTTTCACATGGAGCATTGCGACATCTCAGAGAATCAAGGAGCCGGGCTGATAGTTTCGAATCCTTCATCAAACGTGACCGTTGTCTCCAGTATGTTCAGTAAGAATTTCCCAGTTGGGATGCAGGTGACCGGAGGACACACACACACAGGATCAAACCTCCAGATCACTGACAGCACGTTTGAACAGAACAGCGGTGCCGGTCTGATGCTGTCTGACGTCCCGATGAACGTGGACATACGTCAGTCTAACTTCAGTACAAACTCCCATTACGGACTCAGTGTGTTCACCACAACCCAAGTCAGCCTTGTGACTGACAGCTGCCACTTTGATCACAACGGTCTGGACGGTTTCCATGCACGATATCTCGGGGTGTCGGGCGACAGAAGTCGTACAGTCTTCCGTAATGGTGGTGCTAGAGGTAACGTTGGAAGTGGGTTCGATCTAGAAATAGAATACCAGGAATATCAGTCTATTACATCTCCACCAGTATCCGACCAAATCATCATAGACCAATCCAACTTTGCTTCTAACGAAAACGGCTCAGTCAAGATAACAGTTGACAACTCTTACGAAGATCGCTTCCCGGTCATTCAACTCACAGACGGAGTTTATCAAGACAACATGGCGACGGTTATCGAGGTTGGCGGGACTCGTGCGGAAGTTACAATCCAGGAGAGTGAGTTTGACTCAAGTCAGTGTGGCAGTAAGTCGGTCATCCATGTACATGGGTACGACAAGACTGTGAACATAACAGGAAACAGGTTTGTTAACAATGTCTGCCGACGGGTGATGCTATTCAACACAACGGATGTGTCTGCCGACTTCCATTCTCTTTCTGTAGAAGGCAACACTTTCGAAAACAACGAGCATGAGGCATGGTCACTAGCAGACATGCCTAGTCCGATGAGCGAGTACTGCACCATTGAAATCGTTGGAACCGGACAAGTACACACCATCACCCGGAACTCTTTTCTCAATAGTCCAAGCGGTTTGGAACTCTGCAGCGGTGACGGTTCTCATCCATTTGCTGCAAACCAAATCAGAGCAGAAAACAATTGGTGGGGAACTACAGATGTCAATGTAATACAAGGAAAGATATTTGACAACAATGATCAGTACATTCGAGTTGGGATCGAGTTTTCCCCATACCTAGACTCTCCCTCGGGCAGTTCTATGAACGCTGAAAACACAGAAGGCACAGAAACCATGACAGCCTCCTCGTTAGGCGGTCGTCTGAATGGAACTCTGCGGCTAACCGCTTCCGATAGTCCCGTCACCCTGACCCGAGACCTCACGATCTTACCGGACTCGGTTCTCACCGTTGAAGCTGGAGTTGAGATCCATGTACAGGGCCGTGTTGGCATTCTCAATCTTGGGAAACTTCAGTTAGACGGACAACCGTCAAGCCCTATAACATTCACTGCCAGTCGTAAACCCTTGTCTAACCGAACAATTCCTGTGCGGTTAACGGGGGGTTCCAGCTTTTGGGAGGGACAACTGGAAGTGCTGTACTCCGGGCGATGGGTTCCCGTGTGCTATGATTGGTACAGCGAGTTCGCCAATATCGCCTGCCAGCAGTTGGGGCTAGGTTTCTACAAGTCTGCAACGTATGGATACGATTACTCCGACCGAAACCGGCTCACTGTCAGATGCGATGGATCAGAAGACAACATTGGAGACTGCAGCTTATACCGTACAAGTAGGTGCAGGACCGGCAGTTGGTATTCTCACTTGAAGTTAACGTGTGACTCCACCCCCGGCTGGGGAGGTATTGTGTCCCTCTCTAACCAAACGTTTGAGCCACATAATGTCAATCTTTTCCATGTTGGACATTTACATGCACATGAGGCATCTGGGATCATTACGCATGGCTCCTCAGCCTCAAGCATCATGAACAACGTGGTCATGGAAGAATCTATTGGATCCCCTTCTGGAATACAGTTCTTGGATTTGCAGCCTTCCCAACATATCGGCATACAAAATGTAACGGTGATTAACTCTGGCTCAAGAGACGGTACTGGAATCGGTATTAACGACATACTCTCACTGCCATGGTGGGGACTTGAAGTGAACATAGCAAAGCGGCTAGTTTCGTTTGATACTATGTGCGGAGGGCCGACATCCCTTGTGCTACAGGAAGGACAGCCACTGTGGATCGTAAATGGGATCGAAAAGAATGCAAGACTGCGATGTCACAGAATTGTAGAGGCACCAGACGGATGTCACATACGAGTCACAGTAACAAAGACGGACTTCAGCTATCCATCATCGAGAAACAGCCTCACCATCTATGAGTCCCTTGCATCAAATGAGACCAAGATGGGATCGCTTCATTACGCCAACGAGGTGAGCTATTCCGGAAATCCGTGTTTTCACATCCAATGGCTCTACAGTCAGGCTACTGCTGCAAGCTTCAACCTCACAGAATGCGTTCTTTTTGGCAAAGTTTGATACTATCAGGAAGGGAGATACTAGTGCAGGATTAGAAACCCCAGCATCACTTGAGGTTATCAACGTAACGGCTAGGAACTTTCAATACGGTGTACACGTATCATCAGAGGTGACAAACGTACGAATTGACGGAGTTACGCTGTCGCATTGTGCTAAAGGACTGTACATACAAGGAGTAGCCGAGGGACATGTATCTGTGGAGTCAACAGTTGCCTTGCAAAACTTTGAAGATGGTATCCACATCTCGTCCATCATCGGTAGTGTCATGCTGTCTAATGTATCAGTGGTAAACAATACTAATAATGGGATATACATCAATGACATTACTGGTACAGTTAACATGAGTGATGTCGTATCTCATTCCAACTACGAACACGGGATTTACATATCCATTATAACCGGTGGAGTTGATATGAGTGAAATCGTATCTCATACCAACAGTGACCACGGCATCTATCTAGGGAATGTGACAAACGTAAATATCGGTAGTACCACGGTATCTTCTTGTGCTAAAGGACTGTTCGTACAAGGATCAGATGGAAACATATCTGTGGAGTCAACAGTTGCCAACTTTAACTCTGAAGAAGGTATCCACATCTCTTCATGCCTCGGTAGTGTCACAATGTCGAATGTATCAGTTGTTGACAACTCTGACCATGGGATGTACTTCAATGACATCACTGATACGGTTAATATGAGTGATGTTGTATCTCATACGAACAATGGCCACGGGATCTATATGTCGGATGTCACAAGCGTATATATTGACAGAGGCACCATATCTTCCTGTGCTAATAAAGGACTCTACGTAGAAAGGGCGGGTGAGGGACTTATATCCGTGGAGGCAACAGTCATCCAAAACTCCCAAGAAGGTATCCGGATCTCGTCGTCGCTCGGAAGTATTCTGTTGTCAAATGTATCAGTTGTAGACAACTCTGACAATGGCATATACTTCAATGGCATCACGGGTACAGTTGATATGAGTGATATTGTATCCAATAACAACAGGGGTCACGGTATCTATCTACTGCAAGTAACAGACGTGCGTATTGACAGAAGCACGATATCTTCTTGTGCTAAAGGACTGTGGATACAGGGAGCAGATGGAAATATATCCGTGGAGTCAACAGTTGCGAACCATAACTCTCAACAAGGTGTCTTCATTTGGTCATGCTATGGTAGTGTCCTGTTGTTGAATGCATCAGTTGAAGACAACTCCGACCATGGAATATACTTCAATGACATCACTGGTACAGTTAATATGAGTGATATTAGATCTCATTCCAACAGAAACCACGGTATCTATTTATCGGATGTGACAAGCGTATACGTTGAAAGAAGCATGGTATCTTCTTGTACTAAGGGGGTGTACGTGCAAGGAGCAGCGAAGGGACATATAACTGTGGAGTCAACAGTTGCCGTACAAAACTCTGAAGAAGGTGTCTACATCTCGTCAAGCCTCGGTAGTGTCACGGTGTCGAATGTGTCGGTTGTTAACAGCTCTGGCCATGGGATATACTTCAATGAAATCACTGGTACAGTTGATATGAGTGATATCGGATCTCATTCCAATAATGGTCACGGTATCTATCTACGGGATGTGACCAATGCACATATTGGCATGAGTACGATATCTTCTTGTACTAAAGGGCTGTACGTACAAGGACTACAAAAGGAGGGACATATATCCGTGGAGTCAGCAGTTGCCGTTCAAAACTCTGACACAGGTATCGACATCTCGTCGTTGGTCGGTAGTGTCACGCTGTCAAATGTATCGGCTGTAGACAACTCCAACCGTGGAATATATATCTATGACATCACTGGTGCAGTAGACATGAATGGCATCGTCTCTCATTCTAACTATGACTATGGGATATACATCTCTCACATTACTGGTACAGTTGATATGAATGATACTATATCTCATTCTAACTCTGACGACGGAATCTATCTACGGAACATTAGAAGCGCCTTGCTAACTGACGTAGTTGCATCTGACAACGGAGCCAATGATGCAGGAATAACCATTTACCATAGCTCCAGCCATCAAGGCCAATACAAGATGGTAAATGTGACATGTCAGGACAGCAGAGGAAAGGGTTTAGACATAAATATACCATCGGAAGCAAGGGTGGAGATGTATTCCAGTCGTGTACAAGGAAACGACCAAGGAGGGATTTACGCAAACTTCGGAAGTACTCAGCCCAGCCAGAATGCAGGCATCATTCTACAAAACAGCGAACTTTACAATAACAAAAGATTCGCTTTGCACGTGACAGGTAAACAGACATCAATCGTTATCGCCAACAGCACCATCTCCAATAACATCTGTCCCTATCAACCAGCTGTTGGCTTCGAAGGAGAAACAAACGACGTTAATCTTACAAATAGCCTCCTAGTCGGTAACAATGCAAGAGAAACTCTGTCATTTCTGTTCGGAGATTATTCTCACGAGTTCAGTTCTCGAAACATCCATGTCATTGGCAACGTCTTCAATGGCAATATCTACAACCCAAGCCAAACCGACGGGAACTTTCAGTACAGCCAGTACCCGGATCATACCTCATGTACCATTGAGATTGGCGGCTACGTGACCTACTGTCATCTGAGTCACAACATGCTGGACAATCCAGACATGAACTACACCATGTGCAGCAGGATCTCTACAACTTCCCCTGATGAGACGATTGACGCCAGGTACAACTGGTGGGGAACAGCAGTTGAAAATGAGATTCGAGACAAGATTTCTGACTTTGGCCATTGGAACGACCGAGCTCCTGTAGACTACTTCCCGTACCTGACAGGCCCTGACGTGTCCTCTCATCTAGCTGACCTCTCTAACCAAGATGTCACCATGGCAACTAACAACATCGGAGGGAGGATTCATCGTTCACTTCATCTACGAAAAGATGGTGGTCCGTACATAATCAAAGGGGATTTGACCGTATTGAAAAACGCCTCACTTACAATAGAACCCGGGTCTACTTTTAAGGTACACCCGTGTGTTGGTTTGTTGAACCTAGGTTCTCTTGTTGCCCAGGGAACAAGGTCAGAACCAATTTATTTCGACATCGCGGACGTGCCACTTTACCAACCCCAGGTCCGGCTGGTGGGAGGGCGGTTCCCATGGGAAGGTCGTGTGGAAGTGTTCTATAACGGGACATGGGGGACAGTATGTGGGAGATACTGGGACTCTCAAGATTCAAATGTTATTTGTCGTGAACTCAACTATGAAAAATGTTCAGTCTGCAAGACATACTCATTTGGATCAGGCGCTGGGCCGATATGGATTGGTGGATACAACAGCAGGGTCGACTGTGTTGGACATGAAAGGAGCATCTTTAATTGCCTCCTGGCAGCGCCGGGCAATACTAATATATTCTGTACACACTCATGGGACGTGGGAGTGCGATGCACACCAAACTCTGCCATTTCGACTCGACCACTATGCAGAACAAGAAGATGGGGTGGGATCAAACTAAATGGCAATGACTATTCAAAAGTAAAGCACATTGTCATAAAGAACACTGGCAGTCTTCATGGATTGGCAAGTCCAGGGCTCACAGTTGGAGCATCAGAAGAGGTCATAAATGTATCGAGTATCCATATCAGCGAGTGTGAAGGGATTGGACTTGAAGTTGTTGGTGGAAAACGGTCAACGGCAATGACAGATGTCACAATCCATCAGTGTTCTGGTGACACCGGCATCTCAATATTTGGAAGGAAATCCCACATGGTGGCATCACAAACAAGTTTCGTTGAAAGCAGCTTTCTCATCGGATCCTTCAACATGAAACCGAACGTGCCCTCTGTAACTAGCGATGAATGTGGCCGCCCTGTAACAATTGTCGCAGACAAAGGGACAATCACCAGTCCAAATTACGGTAGATCAAACTATCAAAACAACTTGCGATGTGAATGGTTGATTGTAGTGCCCAGAGCACCAGCCACTCTACGATTTATACACATCAACACTGAATATGGATGGTACTATAACAATGGATATGGATATAGAAATGGATATGACTATGTCACTATCTATGACGGGCCAACAACCTCATCAGTTAGTTTTGGGCGGTTTGGGGGCGCAACCATCCCATCTCCAGTCGTTTCATCAAGCAGGGAAGTCTTTGTGACATTTAGGACTGACTCTATGTTCACTCGAGAGGGATTTGAGTTGGAATTCTCCTCAACAGAATCTGAAGACATCGATGACGAAGGTGGGTAAAACAAGTTTCATGTTCGTAGTGTTGGTCATTTAAGCACAAATGTGTCCCCCAACAGCAGCCGGTTAGGCTTGGCTTGCGTTCGGGAGCACTCTGAGAAGACCTAGGCAACGCCTACCAATCTTTCTGAATAAAAAAAAGTTGAGTCAAATTTGATTCAAATGTGACCTCGGAAAATACCCGAATGGTTGTCTGGCACTGTGCTGAAAGCCGAGTCCCAGCTATTCATGATCGGACCTCCCGAATGTTTTAAACATTTTGAAACAATCAGTTTGCGCATCCGAATAGGAGCCCAACTTGACGATCACAAACTGACCCTGCCAACATTTCGCCGACCTACTCTGACCATGGCTGGAAGGCGTTCGGATGTATTGTAGTGTTCGGAAAACCAAATTCGTTAATCTCTAACAGTTTACTAAAGCATTTGGTCATTAATGCATATTATCATATAGCCGGGTGACGTTGACCAATCAGAAGGCTCCATTCCACATTCCTTATGACGCCATAATGTCACAAATAGAGTCAAAACCGGGTATTTATTCATCCCAATCCATACTTCAAACAACCCAATAATCACCCGCATATGACCTCGGGTGATCCATAAGGAACACGATTCTCTTCTAGACTAAAAACAATTGTGTTCCAATGACCTCGGGTGACTCGTGACTCCCATAAGAACACCTGTTCCCTGCCTGTGACCCACTTGGTGGCTTTATTCGGTGGTTATAGCAACTGCCAATGCTTTATCACACCATATTCACCTCGGGGCGGGTCATTAACTCTAAACTCTTTGCCTTTTATTTTGCAGGTATCTGTCCTTGTACGTACAGCATCCAAGACTCCACATTTAGAAACAACAGTGGGAGTTTCATCAACATAACCGCGATTACTGATGCAACCATAGATATCCAGAGGAGCATCTTTTCACAAAGTCAAGCACGCGGTGAAAACGATACAGACGGTGTGATGTACTTTTCGGGTGATATTGCCAACACGAATTTGACCATAAGAAATAACTACCTGTCAGGCAATGCAATTAAAGGCCTGTATTTCAAAGATCTGAAACATGAAAATGTGACCGTAAACATTCTTGAAAATCACTTCTTCCGAAACAAAGCCGGTGCTCTACTGATGACAAATGGTGACAGCTTCAATCAAACACTCCGCGCGTTGTCGATAAAGAACAATGTTTTCTCAAGCAACGAGGAAACTGATTCAGAAGATCTCATTTCCATTGAAAACTTTAACGGGCGTGTAGAAAGTAACACATTCTTTAACAACTCGGGACATTTCATTGTGAATTGGCACGGTGGAAATACATCTAATGATCAACAGATTTGTGACAACAATTTGTTCTACGATAACATCGGCATGATGCCGGGTGAAAAGTACACAGTTGTCGTGTCAGGTACGGACGTACAACTGCACGGCAATGTCCTCACCAACCCTGCAAACGATGCTGAGTTAGCCACATCCCACAGGACACCGTTTCATCCCGTCAATGCTACCCACAACTGGTGGGGGTTTGACAAGAGAAACCTGATAGAGACACGGATCCGAGACAGGAAAGACCGGGACCAATGGGCCGAGGTGTTGTTTGACCCTTGGACACCTGAAGCACCAAGCAATAGTGAGTAAATTATAATACAGGCATGCAACATTGAACAAGTCTACACTAACAGGAATTACAATGTAAATAGTCTTGGTTTGCCTCTATCTTCATCATTATCTCTATACATGAGAGACATATTGGTGTCATGGCAACATTCACTTCATAGTAAGTACACTGGACGTAAATAGGAAACCATAGTAAAAGTAATTCTTCATTGGAATTTATGGAGGGGATCCGTAAGAGCTTGGTACCGACTCTAAAAATGGATGTTGCATGATGATGATTATGATACATGTATACAACAACCAGCAATGTAATAAAATTATCTTTACAGAACCTTGTGATCTGGGATGGACATACAGTAAGCCACTTAGTGCCTGCTACAGGTACATGGGTGGATCGCAGACTTGGGATGACGCTGTGAAATCTTGTCAGGTACATGACACATACACTTTGAATTACCAATGAGAAATGCGGTATTTTATAAGTAATGTACACACAGCAAAACACACGTTATCTTGTTAGCATGAGGGCCTAAATATTTTGCAAGAAAATATTTCTTTCAGATCATATACATGGTATGTCTATGAAGAGATAGATAAAACAGTACAATATACCATATGCAATCAGTTCATATACAATCAGTTCATATACAATAGAGTAGCAATAATGATTAAAACCCTTACATTTTCTTGTTCATTTAGGCACAGCTTTCTATACTTGTACGGAGGTTTGCAGGGCTTGAAAGGACGACACTTGACAACCTGTTAGTCTCACGAGAGGAGGACTTCCTGCCGGGAATACCTGTCTGGATAGAGAGAGGAGTGGCGGTAAGTTTAAGTTAATCAAATAAACGCGTACAACACTTAGTCTACTGAAAATGGCCTTTCCTGTTTTTATCGTCTCTCTTGAACAAAGAATTTTTTTCTGTCAGTTAGTATACCTATCTTTGTATCTATTTTTCTATTTATTTATTTATCTAATTTATTTCTCTCTCTCTCTC